GCACTTGTGCCTGCAGTTTGGCGAGTTTTTCCTGGTTCATGATAGTTTCTTTCATCTTGTCGGAGCGGATATGGGGCAGCACGGGGGACTAGGGCTGGTGCTCAGAGGGTCTCGGGCGGACCAGCTGAGATTAGGCGCACACACGCGGGGACCCCTGCTCCACGATTTCTAATGGTAACTTTTTTCCCCCCAGAGCTCAAGTATCTGACTTCTGCTCACCACCCCTCGCTCGCACGCACGCACGCACGTTCATCCTCCGTCCTCGCGCCCCTTTCCCTACACTTTCCTCTTCTCGCAGAGGGAGGAGCCGCTTGCTCCGCGCGGTGCATGGTGGGAACTCAGGTCGAGCCCGCTATCGCCGTCGCCTGAAGGCAGCGAGAAGAGGCCGCGACCGGGAGACAACGCCCGCCCGGAGTCGTCACCGGAGAGGATCCAACTCCTAGCAGCCGCAGCAAGAGGCCCTCCCACCCGTTGGCCCGTTTCCCTGCCCTGTTCACCATGCAGCCTGCTTCTGCAGAGTGGTATGATCGAAGGGACTATGTCTTCACTGAATTTTGTGTTGAAGACAGTAAAGATATTAATGTAAATTTTGAAAAATCCAAACTCACTTTCAGTTGTCTTGGAGGAAGTGATAATTTTAAACATTTAAACGAAATTGATCTTTTTCATTGTATTGATCCAAGTGATTCCAAGCATAAAAGAGCAGACAGATCAATTTTATGTTGTTTACGAAAAGGAGAATCTGGCCAGTCATGGCCTAGGTTAACAAAAGAACGGGCAAAGCTTAATTGGCTTAGTGTGGACTTCAATGATTGGAAAGACTGGGAGGATGATTCTGATGAAGACATGTCTAATTTTGATCGTTTCTCTGAGATGATGAACAACATGGGTGGTGATGAGGTTGTAGATTTACCAGAAGTAGATGGAGCAGATGATGAGTCACGAAACAGTGATGATGAAAAAATGCCAGATCTGGAATAAACAAATGTCATCACCTGAATTTTGAAAAAGAAAATAACTTCACTGCAAGATTTCATAATTGAGAGAATTCCTGAGTTGATAGCTCTAAAGGCAGATGCTATATTTGC